CACATCACACCACAAACACAGACACACACACACACATATAATATATATATATTTATATAATATATATATATATATATATATATATATATATATATATATATATATATATTACTTCTATTTGCTTTGCTGTTGACTGCTCCAACATTACTGTCTCCCCTTACCACAAACTGCTGCAGTTACTGATTCCTCCAAACCCAGGCAATAGACGGCGACTCTCAAATATTCATTATTATTCTATAGAAGTAATCGAAGTAGAATAAACAAGACATCTTAAGGGAGGTAACTTAATTTTTCTCAATATTTCAACTATTATTCTTATGATATGTGCGTTTTTCTAATGTTATTTTTCATGTATTGTTCTTAAGAATTCAATGATTGAATAACTATCTTGAGTATCTTAACTAATAGCGTAATTGATCTTCCAAAGTAATGACTTTTGTATTGAATGATCTATAAAACCCTTTGATTAATAAAATAAAAAATTTATCTACAAGTAAGAAGAATCAAAGTAGAAGACATCTTAATGGAGGTATCTTACTGCAATTCTTTCGTGTGAACTTAAAAATTTTAAAAGTAATGTCTTAAGATTTGTAGTTTTTTTTTAAATTGTGAATGATAGTAATATTTCATACTGTCTATAATAAAAATATAATACGTCCAGAAGAAACAACCCTAATTAAACCTACCGAAGCTCCTCATGAAGAGGAAGAAGTAAAAGACTCGAAAGATGTCGCCTTCACTTATCCATCAGAAAAGAGCGAGGTCGATCCCTTAACCTAGGATCACAAGTGAAAGTTGGAGGATATTGAAGGAGAAGACGAGAAGGAAGATGGCGATGTTGAAGCATGCGAAAAGAAGGATAAGAGTGAGACAACGGTCGCGGACCTTGAAGATGCCAGCAACACCAAGAGGCAGCGTGTTGATGATGCAGGTGTCAATTGATTGGGTAATTTCTTGATGTGATCTTTTTCATTTCAGCTCTTTGACTGGGTTTTTTTATGTTCGTATTTGATTTTGAATCAAGGTTTCATTTGTTGTTAGTCTATCAGGGTAATTGGAATATGCATCTGTTTAGTGTTTGATCCATCAAGTTTAGTTTTTTTTAATGATTTTTAAGGATTTGATACACATATTAATATGTTGGTTCCAACTTTTGGACTGGAAATGTTTGCCTCTTATGCTGAAAGGACAATCGTGTATTAAGATGCTAACATTAATTTTTACGACCCACATGTTAGCTAGGGGTGATCAACATAAGATGCATTATGAAGATTGATTTCTAGATTTAATTTAGGTTTTTTGCTAGTATATATATTGTTTAAATTTCTATTATCAACATCATTCATTATAATCCTACAGTTGCATAAACTTCAATTCTCATTGCTTTTAACCGGAACATTTCCCTCCTCTTGAATGAAAACCCCCACACGCTCACCCATGCACAAATACAAAGGAATTGCTCTGAGCATCAGATGACCTCCTGATGTCCCTCATTCCTAATGTCACTCATTTGTCTTTCTTGGCATCATAGATAGTCAATTATAAAGGGGAGCGGGAGGGGAGGGGAGGGGAGGGGAGGGGAGGGGGAATTATGTCAGCATGGGTTTTATGTTTGGTGGATAGAAAATTTTGGCATCATAGATAGCCAAACAAGACCACATTCCTAAATGATATCCCTGTATGTTGCCTCTGTGCTCTTTGCATTCCCGTTTTAACTTGAGCCACAGTCCATTAACATTAAGCTGACATTATAATGTGCCTCAATGATTTCCTTGCAGTGTTTCCAACTTTCCATACGCATTTGTTCATTTTCTTTCACCCGAAGAGGTCTTAGAGGACAATGAGTTCCTCCAGCTCATTTTTGTAGTTGTTCTGAGCATTCTTATGCTACTGATGTTGTGAGTGACATTGGAGAAATTGAGTTGGTCTTTGGACAGCTACATGTGTGCACTTTGGCTGGTGGTGTAGAAATAAGATTTGAATAAGCATGCAAGCTCATACTTTACTATTTTACTTGCGATTTCAACTGGTCAAAAATATTTTTAGCCTTCCTTTCTTCTTTACTCAAGTGCAGATGGAAGTCAAGTTGTCCAGAAAGAAGAAGTTCCATCGCTCAGGAATGGCCAGCTTCCTTACACAGAGAATACTGCATCTGGGCCTTTTGAGACTGTTAAAATTTACTGAAGAAGTTGCTCAACTAGGAACTCTTCCTTTAGCCAAAGTGCACACATGTGAAGTGTATGAAGATTGTTTTAAATTAAAACATGTATTATATAACTGGGTATATGCTTGAATAAATGTATGCATATATTCAAGAAGTGTACAAGAAGTTTTGGTATGGTACGGTTACAGGTACGTGTCAGTGTACGGTTATGGCTTTCGATTTGAAGTACCCAAGTAACATAGGTTTAGGCAAAAGGAAGGAAAGAATTCCATTTTCCCCTCAAGGAAAAGCGAGTAAGCAATTGATAACTGTACAAACTGTATTAAAGAAGTGATAGACTTTTCACAAACTGTCTAAAATTACCAAATATATTTTAAAGTCGAGAACAATTTTTAAGAAGTGCTGAAAAAAATTCTCTAATGAATGCCTAGAAAGTATTGATACTTACAGAACACTGGTCCTTGAAAATGTCTGAGCTGAGTACTAGCTGATAAATTTTCATACATTCCTAATTTTAGAATCTTGTCATGCCTATTCATGCCCCTAGTTCTCACACAGGCATGTGCATGTGCACTCATACACAAAAATTAAAGGGGGAAAAGCAAAAACCTCTCAAGGTAATCTACTAGTACCTGCTTTGCATCCTACATTTTGGCATTTCCAGCGTTCACGTATCAGTATCCTACAGTGCTTGTCTCCTCATATTCGTATTGGTGGTCTACAGGCTTCTAACTTTGGCGTGACGAAATAGGTCAAATAGTGCAAAAGATGCAAAAGTGTTAAATAGTCTACATGCTTGCCTAGGGGATAGGAGGAGGAGACACTCAGGCTACATGATGGATTGAGCACCTTCATTTAAACCTTTTAACAATAACTTGACATTATCAGAAGAGCACTTTCCTTAGACTGAGAACCCTTGGTTGGGTTCAGTCAAACTATACAGTAGGGTCAGGATTGGCTTTCTAGATGCTAGCATAATTGGTCATATAAGGGCGTTCCCAGTCCCTGAGGCAGATAAATATATATATAAAGCTCTCAAATAAGACATGGTTCTTGTGGGACTTCTACTTCCTATATGCCAAATGACCACAAAATAATCATGACAACAAAGACTTGTCAGGTATTACTAAATCATAATTAATATATACAATATCTTCCCTATTATTGATTATTCATACCAACAGTAGTGCCTTGACACTTAACCTTAACCTTTCCAAATTTACCAGGCCAAAACACAAGGAAATGGCCCCTGACACTAATGTCATAGATCTTGGAAGAAAGATTATTGTACAATAAGGGGGACAAAAAGTAAAATTCTGGAAGGATCCACTAGGCAAAATCAAAATATGAACAGTTGAATTTTCCTCTTTTGCTCTCAGTGTCTGCAAACTACTAACATGTTGCGCAATCAAGTATCAACAGCATTCAGAGTTGCCTTCATTCACTCTAAGACATATGTGCTGTGTACAAAGTTTGTGTTTTTATATCCTACTTTTTGCAGTTGTTGCATTAAAACACTTTAGAACACTTGATGGATGTATTCCATGTCTATAACCATCCATCAAGTTCAAGAAGCGTTAATCAGACAAGGACTACTAAACATAAATGAACAACATAACCCAATACAGTACCTAGATTGACAAGGTACACTATCCATCAACAATCATATGTCTGAACTGTCCAAATGAGAAAACACAGGGAACAAAGCACTAACATAGTAATATGGGATGTCGAAGCATGAAAATTAGAGTAACTAGCATGACGACTATTCTCTATAAAACAAAGTGGCTAAGGTGTTACTGGGGTTTCCTAGACCTCTTAAGCGCTTAGACACCCACTATCCAAACAGTAGTCTAATTCAGATCATAACCCTAGTAATATGGAGATTTCCTCCGAGTTATTAGCAGTCGTCGGCTTTTATCAAACCTACTGAACGAAATAGTTAATTATGCATAAACCTTTTTGTATAAAAGAAAAATCGTCAAAAGATTAATCGTTTAAACTAAAACTTCCAATATTTTTCTACAAATATTCTAAACTCGTAATCTTCATACTGCTAATTTACTACATTATTCTCTTCGGCATATTGAAATTGTGGTAACCATCTGCATCAAAAATAATGAGAACGTATCTGTATGTATATGATTCAAAAATTAAAATTGTCGTTACCTTTTCTAGTCGGGGGTTTTCGATATAAGGCCCTTAAATATTCCATGTTTTAAAAATAGTCCCTCAAATCATGGACATTGCTATTAGGTCCCTCAACTTCTAGGTTATTCCGAATTAGTCCCTCAAATCAAGGAAATTGCTACTACGTCCCCAATTCTTATTTTATTTTGAAATTAGTCCAGCAAATGGAGGGATTACCAAGTAAAATCCACTGTTGTGGACTATCAGCCCCTCCAATTCCCATAATTTGTTTACGATTAACCCCTCGATTCGTTACTTCTATTAGTGATTGGAAGGCCGGTTTCAAATTGTGGGAAAGCAGGGACCTAATAGCAATTTCCATGATTTGAGGACTAACTTTGAAACAAATAGACCTAAGGGACTGATTTCAAAAAACCCCTTTCTAGTCCAACCTCTTACATCCTCATTCCATATTGAAATTTCCACAAACAATTCTTCAAAACTCTGCTTCCATCCTTCTAAACAACTATGGAGTTCTAACTGATAACACAATTCTAGTGTATCTCACTGTTCCATAGCACATCAAATTAGTCTGAATCAAAATCTAGATCTACTTCCTTCAAAAGATCCAGTCAAATTACAAAATAATAATAATAATAATTAAGTTAAATAATTCATTAAATCAAATAAATACTGTAATCAGTACCCGTGATGAGGTTCATATCGCAGGGCACAATACACTCATCGTACCCGGTATCATCATCCTCCCCAGTCTCCGCCGGCAGTCTCGTTCCGTGCCCACTGTAATGAATGAAAAGACAGTCCCCAGGCTCAGCGGAGCGAATCAAGTTCTTGATCGCCCGGCGCACGTTAGCCCCCGTCGGCTGACTGTAGGAATCGTCGGTGTCGATGAGGATCGCGATGTCGGACTCGTCGAATCCGAAGCGGTCGACGAGGCAGCGGTGCATGCGGTGGACGTCGTTGATGCAGCCCTTGAGCTCCGCCTTCGTCCCTGGGTAGTTGCAGCCAATCAGTAGAGCTTTCTTCCCCATTTGATGTTCGTTTCCTCTTCTTCGAGACTTGAGGATTCTTGATCGGATTGTCGTTTGGTTGTCCCTGAAACCTCGGATTGCGTTTTTTTTTTTTCCTTTTCCCCCTCGCTTGATCTAGGGATTAGGACTTGCTGAGAGGCAGATGCTGTTTTTGCACTTTAACTTGCACGGGGGGGGGGGGGGGGGGGGGCATTAGCGCTGCAGTGAATTTGTTAATTTTATTATTAATATTCACTTCATTCAGCGGACACGTTTTTTTTTATCATTTTCCTTTTTTTTCTTCTGATGTTAATTTACTTGTTTGTCCTTATCTGGTGGGCAAGGTGTACTCTAATAATTCGCATCTCAAAACTATGGTTCGGACAATTGTGGGATGGGGTTTTATGATGCCGGTCAATTTTAACTGAATCTAGAAATATTATGATGCTAATCAATTGGATTCAGAACTAGAATAAAATTGGAGGTGTCAGATAATTATGATATAACCGTGTCAAAAAAATAGAACCATACTAACTACAGAAAAGTATCTCGCATTTAGCATGTGTCTATCTATATACTGGAGAGAGATATCTACATACATGAGGGATCTGGTTTCTTAAATTATTTCAAGTTTTAGTTTAGAACTAAGAAGGAGAGAAAACTAGTACTTCATATCTTATTATCATTGTTTTCCCCCCTCCACATGCACTTACTAGGGGTGTCCAAAATGGCTGGCCCGGAATTTCAGGTTTGGGCTGGGGCAAAAAGCCCATGGGCATGGGTCTGAGTAGGTGCAGATCGGGCACAAAGCTGGCTCGGTTATTTCCTATTTTTTCTTTTTACTTGTTATTTTTTGGCAAAAAAGGAAAAGAATTTAGGTTTTTAGCAAAAGAAAAGAAAAATATGTAACTTTAGAAGTAAGTAACAAGATAAAAAATTTTGGCAAAGAAATTCAATCTTATTATTAATCACTTATAATTATACAATTTACAAATTTTATAGAGATTAAAATAATCAAAAATAAATTATTTATTATTAATGACTAACAATTATAACATTTTTTTTGAATTTATCACATCACAATAGATGAGTATATCCCAACTAGGTTGCAACTAGGCATTTATATTACTATCATTTGTAACTCTTTACAAAATAATTTATTACAAATTTACTGTTTAAAAAGATAAAAACTAAAAATTACAAATAACTTTCTAGTATTTATAGCATATCATCAGCTTATTAAGTCTATCTTCAATACTAGCTATACAATCGATGTCTTGAGTTCTCTTCTCGTACCATTACCAATCTCGTGAGTACATTACTGCCTGTATGGTAGACAGATCCAACGGTGCTCTGTGATTGTCGATCAACCATCCTCAGATGCTAAAGCAGATTTCGAAGCTACAATAGAAACATGCGCTATTGGTAAATTAAGAGTTATGATGAAAAGCACATGATATGAAACCATTTCATATACTTTTTGCCATTGCAAAATATCAAACTCCTCATTATTCTGAGGTTTACCTAAAGGTGCAACTAAATATGGTTCAATTTTAGAAACTTCTCTCATTGATGATCCTGATTCATGACTACTATCCATACTAGTTAGCTTCTCGATCATCGATTGCCTATCAAAACCCTTATCTTTGCTCAGTCTAGAGCTTGTAGAAGTTGTACATTGAGATGTTACAACATGTCAAGATACATACTTTTTAAATAATATTTAATAGTATTATGATGAGTAAGAGTAGCAATAGTCTAACCATTATTACTTTCCATTGCTATCTTATCATATAAAGAATTCAACAAACGTCAGAGACCAAGATCCTTCAAGCATGGATCAATAAGAACCCCCAAACAAAAAATAAATAAGAAATGATCTAAAATCTAATACTATTCTAAAAGTGGCTTGGCATGTTAAAACATTTCTGCCTAAAATGCCCTTCGAAACACATACATACATCCATAAAATGCATGCTTCCATACATAAATCATATCATATCATACTCATATCATACATAATAACCCATCAACATATTAATTAATCTCCCATCAACATATTAATCTATTTCATTAACATTATTTACGTTACTAAATAAATATAAATAGCCAAATAACGCCAAAATAAGAGTCATTATTACTCCACAAATTTAGCTTCTTTTCCTTTTAACCTTTTAGAGCTTCTAAAATTGCTGACTAATAGGTTAATAGAAATATAAATATAAACAGCCTAAAAACGGTTCCATTTGCTAATTAAGTCAGGTTAAATTTGCTTTAAATAGTACAAACACGTTTTACGCCATAAATTTAGCTTCTTTTCCTTTTAACCTTTTAGAGCTTCTAAAAGAAATGTAAACAGCCAAAAAACGGTTAAAAGAGTCATTATTACTCCATAAAATTTAGCTTCTACTCCTTTTAGAAGAGCAACGAATCAGTTATAACCTTTTCAATAATGGGAATAATCATTATACGAGTCATTATTACTAAAAAACGGTTACAATTCAAATATTATATAAATCTAATCCATACACAACTTCAATCCTACAAAATCTTACCAAATCCTACCAAAAAAATAGAGAACAGGAGGATATGGAAACAACAAGTTGTGATTCAAAAAGGTTAGTAAAATCATGTTTTTTTGTAAGTAAGTAGGATACTTTTTCACTATACTATATTTGCTTCTATAGATAATAAAATGATTTCTCTGTTCATGAACGCAATAGTATTTCACATGGAATATTACACTAAAACCTGATCACGGTTTTAGGATTTTTTTTGGTAGTATAAAGCACATTTGTCTAATTGTTCTGTTGGAGTAACATGAGGTCTTGAGGATACAAATCAATTCACTTTATGTAATATAGAGACTTCAGCATTTATAATTAATTTGGGGATTTTTTTTAAGATCTGATGTGCCTCATATTAGATTTTATTTCATCAGCATTTTTTTACCCTCCACAAAACAGAGGCCTCAATAATATGCTGGCAGCAAGTAGTTTTAAGCAACATCATTTTTTTACCCTCCACAAAACAGAGGCCTCAATAATATGCTGGCAGCAAGTAGTTTTAAGCAACATTTTTCTATTATAGATACTATGACGCTCAATAATATGCTGGCAGCAAGTAGTTTTAAGCAACATTTTTCTATTATAGATACTATGACGAACATTGAAATTTTGGATATATATAGATCATTCTCTCTCTTTTTATGTGTCACTGTGTGGGATAGGATCATTACATATTCTGGATAAATTTTTGTTTCAGTTTCTCTCTCTCTGGAGAAAGTTGTATCCTATAAAAAACAAGATGGAATATATGATGAAAAATTGTGATTGTTTTTAGTTGAACTCATCATTTATTCTTTTTTCATGAAGGGTGTCATCTGACCAAGATGGAATTAATGATCAAGCCCACATCTTGATCCGAGAGTTAAAAATTTATCAAAAACAATGGAGTATAAATGTTCGTTGGTTACGTAATAATATAGACTCATTTAAGAATGGAGAAGGGAAGAAACAAAAGTTGATTCTAATTGATAAAGAGGTGATACGAATTTTACATTGTTATTATTCCATGTAATTTTTATATTATCGTGATGACGTGATTTATTTTCAATTGTGTCTTTTGCAGGGAACACTTATCCAAGCAATTTTATTTAATGAACTGATGAAAAGGTGATTTCACTCTTTCTGTAACATTTATAGTTAGGTTTGATCCTCGAGAAGTTGAAGATGTCTGATCATGCTCGATTCAGTTTTGTTTACAGGTCATGGAATCTAGCTGTTATAGATCAAATTGCCTTGTTGCAGCCCGATTCACCATGGCTCTCTACAATTTGACAAAGATGCATCTTTTGAATCTAATGAATGCTGCTCAAATTGAGCTACCTTCTATCTATTTATGTCAAACATAAATAAGATATGATTTTGCTACATTAAGTGGACATATAATTTAATTATTTCGATTACCTCATTTATTTTGTGGTTTTTCTGTCAATATTGTGGTTTTTTACATGAAAATTGAGTGTTCTATATGATCCTATTTATAACCCTATATCATCTATTTATATCATTAATTTAAAAATGTAGCAAATTATTTCTGAGAACAAGCATAAATTGCCAATTAAAAGTCAGTCAATAAAAACCTAATATATATTATCTATGACATCTTTCAAATATATGTCACATAGAAAAAAATTTATCAATGCAATAAAAACTATAGGGCTACACATAAACAATAAATTATTAACACGTGCAACGCACGTGCACCATACTAGTACTTATTAAATGTGCTTTCCATTTAAAAATCATTTCTGAAAAATAATCATACATGCCATAAGTATTGAAAAAAAAAGCTTAAACATTAAAAACTTGTAAACCAATTTGAATAATAATTGGATAGTAACAACCAGATAATAATATTGTAGCATCATAAAAAACTTGTAGCATCTTTTTTACGCAACTTGTAATTGTCCATTAATTATAAGTTATTCCATATATATTACCAGAGCTAGATATAGAGCTAAAACTAGAAGCGTAGAAAATATTAAAATCATTTACAAATTATTTATACTCTATTGTTATATTTAATATTGCATATGTGGAATTTCAACTATGGTCAACATGTTTTAGAATTAATTTAGGTTTTAAACTTTTTTCCCCATGATTGTTTTCATCTCTTGAGCCTTTGTTCAGAAGCATTATGAGTAAAAGCCATAACGTACCCTAACTTTTTCTATCATTGGTCTAATTTTATCAAATACACTACGCACAATTAAATTTAAAATATGACACATGCATCTAATATGAAAAATGTCACCCTATCATGGCAATAACAATTTGATATGATTTACAACTATCATTATTATTGCTTGAATTATCTAGTGAAAAGGGAAAATATTTTTTAAATTTTTCTAAATTTAAAAGTTCTTCCATTATTGAGTTTGTAACATTCACATCAACGTGTGAATCTTCAAATGAAATAAAAGAAACAACCATTCTAAACATTTTTGAAATGTCATCTATCTATGTGTAGTGATACATAAATAATCAGTTTATACTTTAGATTTTTAAATATGAGAAGTTAGAGAAAATTTACGGTTTAAGCTTTGAAAATATGAGAAAATTTACGATTTAAGCTTTGAAAATATACTTTAGATTTTTAAAT